TGCTTTTCTAATAAATTTTCATGTTCACCATATGTCAATGTATTGCCACTTGCATTCTGCAATTTAAAACCATCCGCAGTGTTGACAGCATCGTCGTCGACGGTTTGTTGCTCGTAAGGTGAAAAGAGTTCAGCAGCCGACTTGCTTTCCGCACGCTTTCCATATCTTGAGCCTAAAAAGAAGCGATCGTTACGTGGAACCACGCTAAGTCTACGCATCTTTGAAGAGCTTAGTGCTGTGCTGCCCCCGGATCGACCATATCGGCTGCCCACAAAGAATGAAGGCCGCTTGTGTAGTATAAGTGATTCTGTGAAATAACGGGATGAAATTAATTATGCTTAAGACCTAGCTTCAAGCATGGTTAAAGTGATGAATATTTTGGCTAAGAGAAGTGACAATAAGGGCAAATCTAAAAAACTACCGATTAATCAGCCGATGCCGAGGCTAGTATCGGCCAAAACAATCGGCATCGGCCGTTTTTGGCCGATTCTGGAATGAGGTAATGTTATTTAGTTAATTGATGATGTTTTTCTTTTGTTATTATAATAGATAATAAAAGCATTTGCGCTTCAAATTAATTTATATTCCAATTGAGGAATACAAATTCATTTCAAGAACAAATGGTTTTATAAACCTTTATAGAAAAACATAATCAAATAACTAACTTACATTGCCGATTCCGATTCTTTTGCCCGATACTAGCCTCGGCATCGACCGATTAATCGGCCGGACTCTAGTTTCGACGCCTTAACAGCTCATTAAAATGGCATGTCAATGAACGAGTTTTAAGTGATTTTGGTATGTAATCGTAATTTTCTCCATAAACAGTTATTATTTTCTAATCTAAATGCCTGTGATTCGAATAAAGGAATACATACAGTGACCGAAATAGAAATTAGGACTCGACATTTTAGTAAGTTTTGGCTATTTTTCCTTAGTTTATTTAATGTTTGTTATTTATTTTATGAAAGTAAAGCCCCTTTCCTAACATAAACCATATTACACCAAATTTCCAACTTTTGTGCAAAAAACTATAAAAATTAATTCTGCAATGTTTCATTAAAATTTCAAACCTTTTAATTAGAATCTTTAGAAAAATATTTGGTTTGCAGTTATGTAACTCGCTAAAATTGAGTATAATAAAGGGCGAGTGGCAGGTGCTGCTCATTTGCTTCTTTTTCAAAAAAATGGTCGCACATATTTACATTTTATAAAAAAATTGCGTAACACCGTAAACAAAAAAATGCCAAAAACTAATGGTAAGTCTTAGCGACTTACAATTGCGCGTTAATATACTAGATTTAACGATTTTTTTAAACAAATTTTACGGGGTAAAAATGTGTCTAAGGAATCCTTCATAAAAGCGATTTACTGTAGCAATTTAGTTAATTAATAATTATTACATTACTTCACTGTATTTTAAATATATTTCTAAAATATATTCTTCTTAAAACGCTTTAAAAGAAATTTAATTTTGTGGCACTTTCATTTCGGCACTATTTTTTAAGATCATTGGGTACATTTTGAAATTTTTAAATTCCATCGCTGGACCGTATACCAAAAAAAAACAGCAGGGTTTAAGCTGAATTTGTGTATGATTCTACAGGAACTTGCTTTGATTTAATACAAAGCACTGTTAACATAAGTATTGATTGCATATCTTCTGCATATCAAAGCTTCATAGAATTTTGATATCTACTAATGAGCAACGATTATTTTGAAAAGATATTTACTATAATATTCCACGAAAATGGATCGATCCGAGACACAGAGCGATGATAAAACTGGTAAGGCAAAGTTATTTGTGAATTTAAATTTTAAATCGGCAATTTTTTAACAAAGCAACTTGTTTCTGAAAGTATTTTTTGAAGAAAAGTACTCGTTAAAAAAAAAATAAGTAAATTTTTTTGTTTTAAACAAGACAGAAGGTTAATCCCTATAAAACCAGGAAACTCCGCACTCCACGGGAATGACGTCAAGCACTACATCGTGAGGGAAAAAGGTAGTTAGTCTCCGCTGCTATGCCGTAACCACTCGGGAGTCCTTAGCCCCTTCGTCGCCTCGCTATTGAGTCACATGCTGACGACCATTTTTCGCTTATTTGCAGCAAAACCTCCACGAGTGACTCAGGCGTGAAACTCTCGCCAGATATGTTGCATAGCTGGCATCTGGTATTGTCAAATCGCATACACTCTAAAAAGACGCCTTCTGTTACATCTCATCCGCAGTAGTCGCATATGGGTTCCGATTCGTGTTTGAATCGGTGAAGGTATGCTTTGAAGCACTCATGTCGAGTTAAACAGTTTGTCAAATAGAAATCGACTCCGCTTCATTTGCGTGAATATTCGGTTTGCTCTTAATTATGCGCGCTCCAATTGAAACATTTACGATTGTAATCGTATTGTAATGTATGAAGATACTTTGTCTTTAAGGACCATGGGTTTTCAGACCCCAAAACAGGGTGCCCTTCATTACTAAAATGGTTTTATTAAACGGTATGGTGTTTAAAAATTTTTGCACAAGGCTTTCATGAAATTTCATTATCGTAAGTACCTTGGCTGTCGAGATATTTACTTTTTTGTTTCTCGGTGGTATATTTGTACCACCTCTTTGTACATATGTAAGAGTTAATGAAATGTTGAAAAGGCTGGCCTTTTTTAACCTTTTTTTGGGCCATTTAGCTTTTTTTTGCTTTTTTATTTGGCCAATCTAGCTTTTTTATTTTTGAAGTCCTGGCAACACTGGTACACAACTTTGTATTCATTCACCTTGTTCTGTTCTTTATCTGCAGATTTTTGCAAGTCTCGTCTTCAGCAGGGTTCTAACCCGCGTTATCTATGTGCAAAGTCAGAAGAGCTAACCACTGATCTATGCACACGCCGTAAGCTCGTGTTGCTAATTCATTTCCTTATTCAGCCTACTACTATCAAAGTTCAATAAAATGTTAATAAGCCACAATAAAATTGCAAAAAAAAAATAATATATTTATTACTTAACAATACAATTTGTGTGATCTCACAGACCAACATCAGTAGTCATGAGTCTTTTTTTAAGCACAATAGTCAAGGGTTAAATCACATGTATATATTTACACCCGGTGTCAAAATCATAAGCACACCACTTATGATAAGTATTAACAATTTTTTTTTTTCATAAAAAACAATACGTACATATGAGACCGTGAGAGTAGAAGTGGCCTAGGCAAAAATTTTTCTCAAATGTGATAAATTTAAAAATAAAAGTCGCTCATTCCTTCATTTTAAGAAATAAAGCTACATAGCGTACCACCAAATTAAGGAATAAGCGACCATTATTTTAAAATTTATAACATTTGAAACTATTTTAAAAAGTTAAATACCAAAAAAAAAAATGTGGATTAGGCCACTTCTGCTCTCATGGCCTTATATGTAATTTATTCTTTAAGAAACCCGTATAAATCAAAGTTGTAATCTTTGTACGATATGTATTCAAAAAGGAATATTCAACAAAATTTCGTAAATCTTGCAATCTTTTTAGTTAGATTTCTTAGAAAGATTTTAAGTGTGCGTTTTGTAGCCCATTTAATTTTAGTAAAAAAAATTTGTTTAACTAGGGCATACCGTTTTTTAATTTTTTTATTTTTTTGTGTGTTAAAGTGTTGCTCATTTTTTTCCAACATACTTTGTGTGGAGGAAAATGCACTACACCGTTGGACAAAAAATAGCTAAATTACGGGTCGTCTTGCGCCAATTTTTGTTTTGCGCTTTGCATGACCTTACATTTTTGGTAATCCGAATAAGAGAATTTGAAAAGGGAAACTATTTATGATATGGCAAATAATGAAGAGTGGAAAAAGTATTTTCAAATACAAATCGTCACCTGAAATGCAAAAGACGTAACAAATATCATCTTTGAAATGCAAAAAGTCATAACTCATAAAAAATTCAAAAATAGTTTTTGATTTATATGATGGATTTCATCGAATTACAACTCCCTACATTATCTTATGAAAAAAAAAATTAAACATTAGTCACGACTTTTCCATTTTATTTACAATGTGGTTACGTCTTTTTGCATTTCAGGTGACGAAATACTGCTTTTAAAAGTATTCAAAATACAAATACAAAAAATACCCTTTAAAAAATTGTTTAAGTAAAAAATAAAACCTGCGTATTTTGTAGCTTGTATTCATATATCGGCCGCTGTGGTGTAGTAGTAAGCAGTGCGCGCTTCCACTCCACAACGCCTTGGTTCAAGCCCTGGTCAAAGCTTCACCGCAAAAAAATATAGAAAAACGATTTTTTCTTAACAGCGGTCGTCCCTCGGCAGGCAATAGAAAACCTCCGAGTGTATTTCTGCCATGAAAAACAGCTTCTCATAAAAAATACAATCGCCGTTCGGAGTCGGCGTAAAACTGTAGGTCCCTCCGCTCGGCCAAACACTTCTTCTCCTCCAATTTGTGGCGTGCGCCTTGATGTTGTTTAGATTTAGATAATATTTTTAGCAATTTATTTGAGAAAAGTAAAACATTTGGATTATTGTTTTTATTTTTATCGATTTTAAATTTGCTACCCCAAAATAATTGATATCAAATAAAACACCTCTTTGAGGTAAAATTTTCGAGTGACGAAAGCTGAACTAGAAACACAAAATTTATGACATCAATTTCGCGACGAAAATTATACGCATTTTTTAACTGCCTTTGAAACGTAGAGAAAATCTTTTTTATTTATTCGGAACGTTGCGAAATGCTGTCTACTGCTAGAAACACAAAATAAAAAACAGAACTTTTGCAACGATTCGTATGAATAAAAAAGATTTTCTCTACGTTTCAAAGGCAGTTAAAAAATGCGTATAATTTTCGTCGCGAAATTGATGTCATAAATTTTGTGTTTCTAGTTCAGCTTTCATCACTCGAAAATTTTACCTCAAAGAGGTGTTTTATTTGATATTAAATACTTGAATTTCAAATACTAAACATCTTTGCCACTCACTGGGAGCTCTTTTTACTATACTTTTGGGACATTTGTTCGCCCACACTATCTACTTTGTATATAAGCGAGGCTCTCTCTTTCGCTTGGTGGCTTTGTATGTCGCTTTTTAGGTACGTTTATCTAGGTTTAGGTACAACTTTTCGGCAAATAAATACAATATGAACATTTAATATTCATCACTAGTGCGAAAAAAAAAATTTTGTGACGTCAGCGAAATGGTGGATGTTGCCAAATCGACAAAGAGAGGATGAGCGGTCCGTGGAAGGTGCAACCTTTGTTTCGTTTCGTCGTGACCACAACATACATATGTTCGCTTTCAGATCGCTAGTATTTT